TATAGAAAAAAGAGAAAAAAAGGGTGTCTCATGTATTGCTAGCAGATAGAGCGCGATGCTGCTTGTGCAGTTGTATAGTAAAGTTATAATTATGTGATCTCCCTTTGGTACATTATCATACACAGTCACATATTCGATATTTGTTATAAGATTTCGTTCTTCCACTCACCGAAATTATACACTGCAATTCAGTCAAAAAATGTACTGATCACGAATCGCAATGTATTTTACCAAACAATGATACGATAAGCATAAAAGTATAGTTTACTCCTCGTCCTCGAGCTTATACATAAAATATCCCTTTTACGACTGTATATCGTACATATCATCGTGTAACCTTTTTCGATACATAAATACCCCCAATCCACATTTAAATGTATTAAAATAAAGGTTGAGTACAGTGCAAGTGTCTGCGAAATTAATATCATAAATAATAATTTTCTGCGGGGTGGGGGCACGGGGGTTTTTGCAGATATGCGTGTGAAGACGCTTATCGCTAACCTCGCCAAAGTAACCATACAATGTAGAAAGACCATTGAACACAGACTTGCAAACCTCGACCAACAATCGTGTATACGTATAAATATACTTGTGCAGTCTTTTTTTTTTGTACTTCTCGCTCTTTCAAACAACGTGCAACTTTGCCTTTCAACCCAACGCGTAACTCACGCGTGTGCACTTGAATTCTTTCATTGCAACGACCGTCGACAGACCAAGTGATCCAGAGGCGCAAATCGAGTTCTTCTTCTTCGGCCTCGAATGCACTGTTTGGCGAATTTGCATGAATTTGCATTACATACGTCAAAGTGGATGGGTCAGGGGGAAGGGGCAAAAGTGGTGCAACGACCGTACACGTATTATATGGATCCAACCGGGTCAGGAACCTTTTAATCGCGCGTCTCGCACAGGGTCCGGTGCAGTTTTCACCCCCTCTCGCTCGCAAGGATTCGTTGTACCCAAAAGGTGCAGCTTCCTTTGGCCCCATGTGTGCGTGTGCCTCGATGTGAGATGAGCTTCGAAGGTGCAGCTTTGCCGAAACGAAGTTCGATACACTCGGGGAGAGCCATCGTACAATGTAATAACGCTGAACACACCCCACACCAGGACCCGCATGTTCCTTTGCCTGAAAATTCTGTGTAATCCCATTATTGTGATGTTCCGTACCTTTCTCCACAAAAACACGTGACGCGAAAGCTCGTCCAGGGGCGGTGGGGGTAGGGTAGTGTAGGACCCACCACCGGGCGATCCTTTACTCGTGTGTCTACAACCGAGGGTCGGTCTCGTCCGTCCCCGTTTTTGTATATGCATACACGATGATGTATATGATGTATAGCGTGTCCGATTGGTATATGTATGTGTATTATATTATGTATACGTGTATGACGAAGCTTTTGGAGGTATTGTACACCGTCTGGCGCATCTGGACTCTTTTAGCTTCGTGAAGCGCATACATATATATTATAAACGTTTGATTGTACGCGAGGGATGACTCTCTGTTTTCACCTTGACGGAATACAATTAAGTATATTTTGTCCAATGTGCGCGTGTGAAAAATTAATTATCTTTTAGGAATTTCCTTCTGCTCATCTATACATAGCATATTAAAATTAACGATTTCGTCGGGCATAATATTTGTTATGAACAGTCATATTGTTGCTACGATAAATCATGATTTGCATTTATTGTTGTTGTATGTTTTAATGCTCAAAGTCCGTTTACTATATGTACGCTTACGGCACCTCGAAAGTAAAAGCATCTGTGACAGAGAGAAGGGCGCATATTGTATATTTTGTTGTATGTTGGGGGGATACCCAGTAGTTGTCTCGTTGCGCTAGTAATGGTATCGAGAGAAAGGGAGAGCCCACTGTAAAGTCTGCTCGTGTAAGCCACGCACTGTAAAGTGCGCCAATTGGGGAAAAAAAAAAAAAAAAGAAATTAAAACACAGAGCAATTTTCCAACGAAAGCACGCGAGAACGAGGCAAAAGGTATACACGACACGGACAAGCACCCCTCCCCACGAGTATATGCCACCCCGAAACTGCTGCCGCGTCTCCCTCCCCGCGCACGGATAGATCAATCAGTAGTCGGGTTGTGGTATATACACGTATATATACCTGATGCCAGAGCCCAAAAGTCGGAGTACAAACATCACGCAGTATATATATATACTCGGACAGCAGCTGCAGAGAGAGAGAGAGAGCTCCCTTTACCGTATAATATATAGGGGGGAAGGAACTGGAAACGAAGGGGCAGCGTTTTTGGGGGAGGCACGAACGACACGATCAAGCATGTACGTACCTTATATACACTTTCCCCCTGGGAGCATATGCGCTGGTTTTCACAGATGTGTTGTCGAATGTCCTTATCATTCGCTCGCGCGCCTCTGTTTATTTGTGTGTATTTTATATACTGTTACATTTTTATCTTCGTTTTTTTATGTTTTCATCCCCTATGGTGCTCGGGGACGATGTTGATGTTAGTTAGTCTGTCATCTGTACTGTATAGAAAAAATGTAACGATTGTAACGAAGGTGGGACATCAGCGCGTGAAATTGGTGGATTTTTTTGGTGGACGCGGGCTCTCGCACAAATTTTGATAAACAACTCGTACCCCCTTTTTTAATTGAGATTTTAGTCAAACTTGCAGCTGCCGTTTGCACGAGAGGAAAACGTCGGATGACTATTTTTTGTTTCTTCTCCTTCTTTTGTCGTTTGATGAATTTTTCATTTTTATTTTTGGCAAAAAAGGGGCCCTCCACTGTAGCGGTACGTGCGAAATTAATAAAAAATTCAGGGGAATGATTTGGCAAAAAAGAAAAAAAAAGCAACACAGTCAATTGGGACGATATACGTACTTCATTTTTGTCCGCCAAGAGTCGCATGCGAAACGGATAGTGTTAAAAAGGCAATTGTATACATACCACATAAATCTCCCCACAGCTCGATTATCGTAAAAAAATCGCGCTAGAGACGCACACGGCAAAGAAAAAGAAGGAATTTCCAATTAACATTCCCAGCGTCAAAAGATATATATATATACCACACGTGATCGCGATAGCGACAAATCGACCGTTATTGCGCCTCACCCTCTTTCTCGCTGTCTCAGCTTTGTTTCCCCCTCATTTTTTTTTTTTTTCTCCAAAGGAGGGAGCCTCATAGTGGGTGTGTGTAACGCACGCGAGGGAGGAAGCACTCACGCACGCGTCACGTACATAACATTATAATAACACTTGTACGTATATATACCTTTGTTCTGTTACATATGTATACACATGTATAGGTAAGTTGGGTATACGTACCATTAAAATATGGTCGTAAGTAGCCAACGGTCCGTTTGATGTATAGCGGTTTTCTCTCTCCCTTTCCTTCCTCTTGCGTCATTTGAATTCTGCGTTTGCTCTTACGTACTGCAGGTATATATATATATATATATATATATGGATGTTGCACCGTTGCAACAAGGGATTCCTTTTTTTTCGCGGAAGGGTATAGGGTTACTTGCTTGGTTGGCTGGTATTGTTTTTCTTCTCTCTCCGGGACGATTAATTATTCGAAGGAAGAAAGCCGAGAGATTTCGCAGTCAGTTTCCCGGTAGACAGATTCCTGACGCTATTATCGTCTCTCTCGCTCTCTTTGGGGTGATAAGCGAGTCTCGAGTGTCATCGGTTAATATTTCCTTATCTGCGCTTCAGTAGGTTACACACACACACACACACACACATTGTCGCCTCTCCTCGAACTTGAACTCTTTAGCGTAATACAGTATCGGCTTCTTATCCGTGGCTCATATATACAAGTATACGTGAGTATATATCGTTATTGTAGAGAGAGCGAGTCGCGCATTATCCAACCGTCCCGGCGAGGAAACGTATTTTTTGGAGCTTTGGTTTTTTTTTGTTTGTTCTTCCCTCGACAGTAGCCATCAAGTAGGTATTGTATACTTTTGGCCAAGTGATGGCGGAAATCAATTAGGGCCTTCTTCCTCCGGTGTGCTTATACATACATATACCGGATGTGGTTACCGGCTAAGAAGAAAGTAGTCCGCAGGCGTCATCCTCTCCCCTTTCCGTCGTTCTGGCGATTTCTCCTCCTTTGCGACTCGCTCTGTTCCTCGGGGACGTCGTCGGGTGATGTATTACGTGTAGCCATCGGCACGTGATATGTACGCGTTGATTTCAACCCCTTCCGCTTGGCCGTTGGACAAAGTGTCCTCTTCCTCCTTGGGACTGGACTCTTAGGATTTACGCTTCGCTGAGTCTTACCGTGTGTGTGTAGGTGGTGGGTGAGATGTTACACGGCTAACTATGTAAGTATATATTATACTTACTTGGAGAGCGGAGGAAGAGCGCCGACACCTTCCGGAAGCTTTTGGGTGTTGATCGTCGTGGACGGCTCGCTATCGTTTCTTGCTTATCTCAATAGACGTTTCCTCCTCCTTTTTTCTTTTCCTGCAAAAGGTGTATATGATGCGACGTTCGGGGTTTTGGCCATATACAAGTTAGTTTGATGGGGCTTGCGAGAACTCCTCGAATGCATCGGCTTCGCTGGTTTCGTATACCTTAGGATCTTGATTTTTGTCTCACAAAATTTACCACAGTTGCTCGTAACATCTTGGAATGGTAATTGTCGATCCGTAACTTTTAATTACAATTACATGTTGTACTTGCAAAGTGTATTATTTGATACGGCGAGGCATGATTGTAAAAATAATTGTGTAACAAAAAACAGACTGTACACGTACAATATACATTGAGGGGATGATTTTATTTTCGATCAAACAATCCTTGCTCTCGGTGTTGGTCTTAAATTCCAAGACTGTAGTCTCATTATCTATCATGAATAACCTAAATACGATACAAATTTAACACATTTTCAAACATCATATACTTGTAATGAAAATTATTTATAATATTCTTGATCAAAATATCCTTGTTGAATTAAAAAAAAAAAAAAAAGTGAAAAAACCAATAGTAACACGAATCAAAAATCTCTGATTGCAGGTCGAGGTCGGGCTACGACTCGGACAGCGTGGACGAGTCGGAGGGCGAGTACGCGATCCTACCTTCGGTCCACAATCAGAGGACGACGAGCAATAGCAGCAGCGCCACCAGCACGCAACAGCACCAACAGCAGGTCAATCCTGGCGGTGGAACGACTGGGCAGGGCAAACACATCAACAAGGGCCGCTGGACCAAAGAGGAGGTTGGTGCTTTTTTTTTTTTTTTTTTTTGCATAATACAGCCTTGGGTGCAAGGTTTTTTGCATTTTTTAATTTCAATGCTCGTACAGTGAGGCTCTTGAATTTCAAAGGATCTGCTGAGCTGTTTTTCTCTCGGAAATCAAACTCGTAAAGTTGTTTGTATAAGTTTCGTAAGGTGATATTTCAACAGGTGTCGCGGAGAATAATTAGGTAATTTTTTTTTAACGGAGCAAAAATTAGGTGACAAAGTAACAATTTCACTTCACGGATTTGATTCGAAAATCAGACTTGCGAATATATAATTATACTGTATGAAAAAAAAATAATACCATCGAGAGACCGGCTATACAGACGTGTACGTGCGGAATAAAAAAAAAAAAAAAAAAAAAAAAAAAAAAAAAAAAAAAAAAAAAAAAA